CCATAAGGATGGAATCCAATATCTCCAAACCCTATACTTATAAAAAATGTAGAAATATGGGTTATAAAAAATGTACTAAGTATGGAAGCCATGCAACAAAATTCTTAAAACATGCATAAAAAGAACATTTTGTTTGAAACCATGCTTCATGCCACTTTTGAACATCATCTTTATAATAGTTGGAGAATGTAGCTCATAAGACAAACCATGCACAATTCATCATAACATAGAGGATATCTTCATAATTAAAAGTATAGTCTTCAACACAAAATAATGTATAGTCCAATCCTTACCAACATAATTCACATTCATAAGCACGAACCAAGTTCATATCATCATAATAGAACTATCATATGAGTAACCTTAAGCTAAACTTTTGCAATTCATAGCTAGGATCCCATAATCCTATCTACGCTAAGTCTTACTTTTAGGCTACAATGAGCATACATAACATAAGTTCATACCAACATATAAGCGACCCAAAGTCATACTAGTGCAATGGAAAGGTAAGATCCCATAACCCTACCAAATGTTAAGTATCACATTTAGACCACCAACAACATACATATCTTACTTTTAGTTCATCCATAACGAACATACATAAGTAAGGAGACATTCATGATCATAACTTGAAACAAGTAATGTTAATTTTAACATTCATTCATATCATACATGCATAATTCATAGGTCTTCATAACGTAGGAGAGAACCTAACCATAACCCCTCTTAAAGTCCACTTGTGCAATGTATGAGTGAAGTCCCATACCCTCACTCATAAAAAGTAGTACCTCTTAAGGAGTCATAATTAGAGTCCATCTTCTTATCATAGCTCATATTCATATCATATAGGGAATATCACTTTAACTGACATAGACCATATGAGCTACATAGAATCCGGTGTTCTACTCCCACACCGAAAAGAGAGGTCCTACTTGCCTAAGGTAGAACATTCATAATAGCTTCTATGTGGATCCAATAGCTAAGACCTATGGGGCACGTAGTTATGGGATATGTAGATTGCTACTATAAACCTTATACTCCTAACATGCGGGTTTCCATCTCATGAGACACCATTATGTGAACCTAACTATTAGTGTGAAGGAACCCATTTCATACATATCCGCTCGGTGCTAAGCTTAATTCCCTTTAAATGTCACATAAAGTCTTTACTTAAGTTTTGGTTCATACAAGAATGCACTAGGCACTCAAACCAACATATACCATGATAGCTCTTATATTCACTAGGTGAGAATGTCCTTTCAACCTTAGAATCATTAACATGTGAGAAAACCTTTCACATCATATTCATAGTGTGTTCATGGGAATATCCTTTCATTCAACACAACAATACAACCATAGTCATAACATATCGTACATAGTCGTATCATATCGTACATAGTCATATTATATCGTACATAATCTTATATAGGGGTATAGGAAAGAACGATCTTGCATCAATACCACAATATACACAATAATTAAACACCACCACCTTTCAAGTTGATCAACATGATCATGTACATTTCATGCATAATAGTATGTAAAGGTGCATATGAGAACTAACCTTTCAACAAACACTATAGATACATTACCATCATCTACACTTCTTTCTTAAGTGTTCATAAGCTTGTACATAATGCCACAATCATACATAATACACATATATTGTATTTAAGGGTCACATTGAGTCAACACATCTATCATTCAACACATAAAACATAGATAACAACCATGACTCAAGTAACACATTCATTTCATGCATAAACTCACGTGATCATATTTTAGGTCATGTGGGTGAAGTCTTTTCACAATAATGCCATATACATTTCAACATGCCAAATAGCTTCTTTCTTTAAGCCAAAACATACTTAACTTGTTCATCTTAACTTTTACCTTTAGAGCCCTAGAAGTCATTTTCATGTTACATGCTTTACTCTCAAGCATTACCTCACATAATCACCGTGTATACCTAATTCTCAAGGTAATATAACCACATACTTCATTCTTACTCAATTATAGACATATAACATCAAGTAACCTAAAACTCAATACTACTTCAACCATGATCCATCATATAAGTCCTAATCGAATTATTTCATGTCTACAAGAGTCATTAATAAGCAATACATGTATAAGTGAACTAAACTAAGGCAATTCACTAAGAAGTTCATCAATCTTAAAGGTTCAAATCTAACCCTCTATTTGCCATTCAAGGCTAAGAATCAAGATTCAACCCTAACTTCTAGAATTACCAATTTAGATAGGGGAGTTTCATGATTCAACAACTTAATAAACATAAACATAATCATGAAATGTAAGCTTACATGATCAATCAAGTCATACCCTAGTTCACAATTTAGGAAGAAGGGGAGATCATGGGTCCAAGGGAGATTTTCATCAAAATCCATCAATACTCCACTAATCCAATCATAAATCATCTTAAACAATCATAATAAACCATAATTAAATAATTTATTTCGTTTTGGAAGAAGACCCATGACTAGATTTGAAAACCCTAGATTTGGGGGATTTGAAAACATAGTTTGATAACAGCAAGGTTAAGGGAGATCACAAATAGAGAATTAAATATTAGAATGCGGAAGCACAAAGAAAAGAAACAAAAAAAACTAAATAAAGATATGGGAAATTCGAAGGAAAGATCCACGAATTTCCAAGGATTAGATGTTCTAAGGCCTTGAAAAGATCCAAGTAACAACGTATAGATTTATGGAAGAAATCTAACGCCTTTACTTGAGAAAACGAATCAAAACGATAGATTCGGATCTTGACCGTTTTATGAGTAACTAAAGACAATAATTAGTATGTAGAAACTAATCACCTTCTAAAGAATACCAAAAAGAAACCAAAGATATCACAAGAAGAAGTTACTTTATACCTTAAACTATGAAACTAGTAAAGGTTTAAAGATAAATTCTCAAAGAACAAGTCACAAAGGTTCAAAGAACTCTCTCAAATATTATTAATATCAATCTAAATTGTCTTTAATGAATGAAAAGGACTCCTATATATAGGAGAAGGGAAAAACGTCCAAGAAGCCAAACCCTAAAAAAAAACAATTACAAGGAATCCTACTCTAGAAAGGAAATAAAGTAACCTAACTAGGAACAAATTTAGTACTTCTAGGAAAGCATTAAATGGTACTTAGGAGACCATAAATAGACTAAGGAAAATATTAATAACCTATATATAAATAAATAAATAAGGTAAATCCCAACTAGGAAAAGAATCTTGACAATCTTGGAAAGTTTGACTAGTCTTCTCTCAAAACTTGGGCAGAAAGCAACTCTTGTTGTGGCTGATTCTTGGACTCTTCTTGACCTTTTTTGCACGAAATTGGACCTTAAAATTCCTCATCTTGGGCTTGAATTTGGGCCACCAAATAATTGTAGCATTTGGACAATTCCTCTCCCTTGGGCTTGAGCTCTTCTTCCCCAATAAAAAACCTTTGGATCAGCGATTGAAGCCCATTGAGCTTATCATTGAACTCCTTGGTTTGAGATCTTGTTATGGGCCTCCTTGGAGTTTCTAAAGCGTCATCCTTGCCCTTCAATGGAGTAGAGCTTCCTTGGATGCTATCATAGTTGAAGGGGCTTCTTGGTGATAACTAACCAAGAATGAAAAGCATCCATACCTTAGACATAGAATCCCATCAAATTAATATGAAAAATCCCTCTTCTTGGAGCCCTAGCTTGATCCCTTCCTTTGTTCTTCAATGAAGTCTAGAGAGAAGATTTTGGGAGGGAAAGGAAGTTGGGATTTGATTTGGGGTCTTGGGTTATGATTTCTTCAAAAGTGTTTTAATGACTTAAAATAGTTTATATAGGTGTAATAAGTCCATATAAAATGACCCTTAATGAAAACTTAATTAAAAAAATTAATTGGAATCCCAGTTACCTTGGCCGAGATTTTGGACATTCACGCCCACCACTCACGGATCGTGAGTGGACCTACGGGTCGTGCTTTCCAGTCGTGGATGGAGACTGGGGATTTTCATCTAGGCCCTTGACCTATGGAGAAATACCACGAGGCATGGATGGATCCACGGCCAGTAGGTCCAATCTGTGGGTCATGCTCTTTTTGGACAGCTTAGGTTCTTTGGGGTCTTAAGATGAATGAGTTAATGACTTAGTTTTAGGGGTCTATTATCTTTTATAGGTGATTAATTAACTTATTAACTGACCTCCCCTAACCCCTAATTAAATACCTTACTAATTCCAAAACCCCTAACTTAAACTAAAAAGTTGTAAAAACAACCCAATTCACGAGACCACCACCCATGGACCGTGGGTGGGTCTACTGGCCGTGGTTGGCTCCGTGGTTTGGGACTGCAGCTCCTTTTTAGAGTCTTTTGCAGGCCTTGACTCACGACCCCAACCTATGAGGTGTGGGTCCATCTACTAGGCGTGAATGGCCATCTGTAGGTCACTACTATGTGACCTATGTTGGGTTTCTAGGAACCTTTGAGTGGTTAGTCTTTAGGGTCCCCCTCAAGGACCCCTTGGGTGGTCCTTGGGGGGTCGTACCCGGATGTTTAAACCCTATAACCCTCATTCTAAGTACGGGAACCATTTCTTGTGTTTTTAACCCTTAATCATCACTCCAAAACTCTTACGAAAGGCTCTAGAACCCACTAGTTCAACTTACAATTTTTTGGGTTGTTACAATGGTGTTGGTCAAACTTAGTTCAACCAATGGAAAGAAGGGAGACCGGGATGCGGGTCCTCTTTATTAGGAGAAGTTTATGGCTGCTTTCATTGATAGGTTCTTTCCCCTTGAGATAAGGGAAGCAAAGGTGCTAGAGTTTATCAACCTTTGTCAAGGAAATATGAGTTTGAGGGAATATGCTTTGAAGTTCACACAACTTTCTAAGTTTGCTTCAACAATGGTTGCCGATCCAAGGGAAATGTTGAGTAAGTTCGTTTCATGTGTGTTTGAATGGTGGTTAAAGAGTGTCGTACCACACCATGCTCATTAATTACATGGACATCTCTTGTCTCATGGTTCATGCTGAACAGATCGAAGGTGAGAAACTTAAGGGAAAGTATATAGAAACAAAGAGGGTTAAGACCGGTGATGGTAATTTCTCTCATGCAAGGTCCGATGGACATGTTCGTCCTAGGTTTCAACAAAGGTTTTCCTTTCAAGGTTACTCCAATGCTCCTCCTAAGGTCTATAAAGATAAGGTGTCTAGCCCTAAGCCTGAAGAAGGAAATGGTAGTGGATCTTCATTGCCAATGTTTTCTTGTATTATGTGTGGAAAGAAGCACGAGGGAAAGTGCATAACCGACACTGATGGTTGCTTGAGATTTGGTAAGAGTGGTCTTAAGATGAGGGATTTCCCAATGCTTACGACTAAAGGAAGAGAGGGCAAGCAAGCTCTTTATAGTGGTTCGAGTTCCAATGCTCCAAAACAAAACCAATTAAATGCACTTCAGACACGTGGTGAACAAGAGGGTTCTCCCGATGTGGTTACCAGTATGTTGAATGTTTTCCAACATAATGTTTTGTCACGACCCAGGGGTACAACCTAAACATAACATGGCACATAGAATCCCGAAGGACTCCAGTAAGCCACTTAACATATCATAACATAAGATAATAGAAAAGTGAGGAAATTTTAAAACATTTTCCATACAATCAAAGTCTTTATAAAAGCAAGGCGGAAGTCTTATTAAACCTATCTCAAACCATCTAGAACATGAATATCCTCGGGACTCATCCCATACAAAAGTCTAAAACATAAAATAAAGACATAAAGGATAGGTGAAAAAATCCTCGATGATATGAGGACTCACCGATTTGTGCGTGTCATCCTTGCGCAGGGGCCATGCTAATCTTCTCTGTATCGTTCCAATTTTATCGGATGTCCCCGAAGGGACATATGAGGACTCACCAAGTCTTCAACTCCTTGCTCTTCTAGAAGCCAATCCACCAGAATGGAACTGAAAATCGCCGGACCCTACATTTGATGAGAATCTAGGCAAGTTTCAGTATCTGCAACAATGAAGGATATTTTTTTCTTACAATTCAGTTTGAGTCTTGTGATATGCTTAAGGTACTTAGGTTTATGATTTTCAATCTTTCGCACAGCTATACGATCATACATCTCATCGCTTACCACGCTTTCAATGATCAAGCGAGGTATATGATCATTAGAGATATAAATCTCTACACTAGAGATATTTTGATCATAGTAGCTTTGAATGATTATGTCAGTTAGAATTGCATCGCCGTAAGCCTCTGCCTTTACCCTAACATAGTCAGATAGGCTGATTTACCCCACCCACTCTAAACGTGATAGCTTAGCCTATGGCATAAGTGATTATACCGCTAGTGGTTTCCATGCTATAATGAATAGTGAATTTACCATACTCCGAATCTTTAGGGTATGCGTACTTGAATAGTAGGTACATAACAAGATTCAATATAATCTCACACTCTTTACATATTAATAAACAGTCGATCAGTTCAGCGTAAGCTATTCTCAGCGCGGGATAGGGATCTTTACAATAAGTTTTGCTGATATATAAAAGACACCCTAAGTAGTCCATACTAATCCTGGTATCGTAAGGTCTTTTCCTTATTACCTTACACATCATCATTGATGTGTTAGTCTTATTCATAAGTGCAAACTATAAATATAAGGGTAATATCTCCATTTACGTATTTCCCTGCGGTACATATCTAATCTAGTATAATAGGATGAATTAGAAGACAATTTTATACATTTAGGTATAGGGGCTGAATGCGTAAATCGTATAGATAGAATATAATGATAGTACTCTTGGGAGATCTCAGTAAGCCGCTTATACCATATTTCCCTTTTTTTTTGTCAATTTGTATTCTTTAGGGTATATTATCAAGGCGGCTGTGCAACTCATCTCCAATGAAGCATCCATCTCGATCTATTTGACACAGCCCACCGGGGGTACGGACTTTATCAAAGAGATTTATCGCAAGGAACGAGTTTATATATTCCATTGGGTGGTGGCTATTTAATAAGATTTCGATGTAACTGTCACCCATAGCATGTGAGAAATCCATGGTAGTGATGAAATTATCGTGAACTGTATATATAGGTATCCCCCGCTTTTCACATTTTTTATCATATTAAATGCTATAATAGCATCTTTCAGATGAATAAAATTCACAAAAATAGTTGATGTAGTCTTTCTTTGATCACGTTCGGTGTGGGAACACGTAGCGTTACCTGGCGTCTTTTCTTGCTGTGATGATCATATAACCATATATTAACAGCTTTAGATTTCATATAGTCCTGGACTATAGTAAACATAGGGGTTGAATAGTAGACAGGTGCAAATGCACTTGCAGATACAACCCAGCCTACAGCTCGTATTAAAGTCATTAGGTTGACTATATGAGGAAATCTCTTTTTAAGGAAAGTTTCTATATGAGTAGCTAGTTCCAAGCATTCCTTTTTCCCTAACCGTAAAGGCGTATTTAACTCATTATATAGATTCTCAGCATACATATTTGATAATAAAAGGACCATCCTTAAATAATTTATTCCCAACGGCTTTAAGGTACTCTATAAGCTCCGATAGAAAGAAAACGTAAATATCGTTTATACGTAGATGTTCTGAATGACAAACTTTAGCAGGAATAAGATTTGTATATTTAGCAAGTTCAAAATCTAACATAAAGTAACTAGTTATCTGATAAGCGCTAGCAGATATATCTTGAGTTATAGGTAGTTGATACAGTGATGCCTCAGGAGAGTCCATTAGCTGGGGGATTCATGGAAGTAGTAGTGTGGTAGATGATAGTGTGGTAGGTGAGTAACTTATTTTCAAGATTTTATTATAATATCTTTTTACTAAGTGTCTTAATTTTGATATCTCTTTAATATTACTTTTAGGTAGTACTAAATTCATGGTAATATGTAATAATATTTATTGTAATATTCTTCTGATAATTGTTTTAATCTGAACATTTCATTAATATTATTTATGATATATTCTAAATATAACATATCTTGGGTTCTTTGATACATCCATAAATTTTCTTTCATTAATTGTTCTAATAATTTTATATCTTCTATAGATTCTGTCCAATATTGTAAATATTCGTATTTCATTTTAGTCTGAATTTATTTCTAATATATCGTACCATTCTATTCTTTCATTATCTAAATATAGATCTTGTAAATCTATTTCATACCATTCTTGATTCAATATATTTTCTGATTCGTAATCATTAAATATTTTTTCCCATATTATTCTCCTTAATTCAATTATTTCTATATTGTTAAGTATATATAAGATTAAAGTTTCGTAGTTTTTTATCATTTCGTCATGCATATATGTAGTCATGTTCGTTGTCTATGCAGTTTTTATTTTCAAATTATTCCTTCCTATCATATTCATAATTGATTAAATTCATATTAGATCATTATGAACTAGATTATTTTTATCATGTTTTCCTGTCACTACTAGCATCGTACTTTAGCGGATACTTCCTTCTTATCAGCGCCTCAACTTTGTTTACTCCCCTAAACGGCTTCCTCGCCTACCGGTTTCAACATTAGGATGGCATAGTATAGAAGTTTTCTCCCTGTTTCCAGTGTGCTAATAAACTAGAAATCATGATTCAAATAATTCTAATACATAATAACTAACATAAACTTATTCAATCACATATATGATATTCAGGAATATAAGAAATTAGTTCTGCATATTTTTTGAACAAAATACCTTTGCCTCTTGCTTAGCCATGCTATCTGAAATATCTGACTGGATTTCAGATTTATCCATTAACTTTTTAAGTAATTAGTATCTTAAAAGAGAGAGTGTTTATAAGAAAGTTTTTATTAAGTTAGGCAATGCCTGCCTTATAACATTTACATCTGATTCCTTATATAGACATACAAACTTACTATTCTAAATACTTATCCTAACACGTTTTTTACACCTGTCCACTACTATTTACTACTATTCATGACTACTATTCATGAATAGTTCCTATTTTATCTTATTAAGACTTATTTACACCTAACTTTTACACTTGTCTAATATGCACATGCCTTTACGACTTTTATTTACAATCTACACTATCTACATTTGTCATTATTTGATGACAAAAGACCCATACCTACTTCATATCTACCTTATGACACATATCTTTGACTAACTTTACATTTTACATTATTACATATATCTTCCTTCCGTTCTTATCTTTGACATAACTTTTTCCGCTTCTTCTTGTTTTCTTCCTCGTTAATTATTCCAGCTGGACATCTGGAATTATAATATCTTCTCCGTTGCACTTTGAACATATATGGTCCGGATATTTATGACCAATTAGTTTACAATATCTGGTTAATAATTCTGCTGAAATAAATCCTTCTTTTAATGCTCGTGTCGTAGGTCGTTCTTCTGGCTTAAGTAATGATAAAATCCATCTCTGGACTTCATCCATATCTGCTTTCCTTAGCTCTCTTGAATTGGAATAAATCATTAACTGGTCTCTTGCATAGTAGCTCCATATAGCATTTCCATTTAAATAATTATTTGCTAACTCTTGTATGATAGTTGATATACCAATTATTCTTTTGTTGGCATAAAAACTTGGTATCTCTATTTTGCATATCTCTTCTTGTTGTCCGATATCTTCGGGTATAATCATATCTTTAGTCAGTCCTATCTTGATAACCTGTATCGGAGGCTTTATCTCCTCATATAATATCTCCGCTGGTGCCGTATAGAATTTTATATAAAATAAATTTCCTTTCGTAACTCTTTTGTATGTGATAAATGCTTTGTATAGTTCTGGTATTCCACTAACTTCTTCTCCGTCATATGTATATACAGTATTTAGTAATCCATAGTTATAACATGTCCTTACTAGGTTGGCGTTAGTTTTTGGTTGTGCAATCAGTTTATTATAACCTTGCAATCTTTGGGTTAAATAATCTTGGTTTGGTTCTTTTGTAGTTGATCTGGGGTTGCAGTTTAAATAGGTTTGAATTTTGTGGATGTTTTCAATATAGGTTCGTGTGATGTAGTTATATGTCTTTTTCTCATTTTGATTTTGTAAGCTATCTGCGTATGTAGATGTTTGTGGTTCTATAGACACATGTCTAGGTGTCCTTTGGGTAAATGGTTTTGCAAATAGCTGGTTTAAGTTAGCATTTTTATGTTGTTTATCGCTAACTTGTTTACTTGTACCTGCAGCTGTATTTAAACAAACGTTATGGGTTTTAAGGAGTTTCCCATCGTCTCCTTTTAGCTCTGGGTTTTTTCCGTCTTCCGGTCGACGTAGCTCCGCATTTTTATAGTCATGCTGCTGACTAGCTTTAGACTTCAGATTATCTTCATTAGTCTTTAGCTTTTGTATCTCGTTGTCCATACTATCCACTTTTATACAAAGTGTAGTTATGGCTTTGAGTAGTTTTTCAATTGTATCTTCTTCCTCAGTCTCAGTCTGAGTAGCTTTGTCTTGATAAGTAATCTGCAATAACATTCTTATCAGTTTTTATTACTTCAATTGTAAATGTAAAATTTAATATATTTAATACCAATCTCCTTATTTCTTTTGTTGTTACCGAATCTTGTATTTTTCTTGTTAGCCACCATTTTACTTGTGTATTATCTGTCCTTATAATAAATTTGTTATATACAATATATGGTTCAAATGATAATAAACACTTATATACTGAGTATAATTCTTTTCTATTTATTTCCCATTTTATTTCTGTATTATTAAATGTTCCTGAATAATACCTGCAATGATGTTCTATCGTAGTGTCATCATACCTGTATTTTAATATTCCTCCATAACTTTTTTCACTCGCATCTGATTCTATTATATAAGTAAATTTTTTGTTTTCATCTGGAAAATATAACTTAGGTAAGTTTTTACATAATGATTTTACCTTTTGTATTTGTATTTGGTCTTTTTTATCAAACTGGTATTCTATATCTTTCTTTAATTTTTGTTGTAATGGTTTTAAATTCTCTGCTAATTTTGGTATGTATTCTCTTACTTGATTTACTAGTCCTAAGAACGATTGTAATTTCTTTTTTGTGTCTAGTTGTTCATTTGAGTTAATTATTTTTTGTACTATATGTGTTTGCATTTTTATTCCGTTTTTATCAATTTGTATTCCTAAGAATTCTATTTGATTTTTCATTATATCAGCTTTCTTTTTACTTAGACTTATACCTGAATATTCTATTATGTGTATAAATTTTTCTAATAATCTTATATGTTCATCTTGTGTTTTGGAATACAATAATATATCATCAATGTACACTACACAATTTTCTATTTGTTTAAAGTAATTGTCCATAAAGTGTTGATATCTACCTGGTGCGTTTTTATATCCAAATGGTAATACATTCCATTCATAAAATCCTTGTGGTACAGTGAATGCTGTTAGTTTTTTAGATTCTTCTTCTAGTTTTAAGTGATAAAATCCTGATTTACAATCAAATTTGCTAAAATAATTATATCCTTGTATTTGTCTTATTTTTAGTATTTTATTTGGTATTGGATAATTATATGTTTTAGTTTTTGCATTTAAATTTCTATAATCAATAACCATTCTACTTTTTCCTCTTTTTTGTTCACTATGTTTATTTACGATAAATGCCGGGCTTGTATGCTTACTATTGCTTTCTTGTATATATCCTTTTTCTAGTAATTCATCTATATGTATCTTAAACTCGGTTAAATCATTAAAATTATACTTTAATGGTTTTTGGGTTATTATACTGTTATTATCAATTAGCTCAATTTTTACTTTTGTTTTATGTTTTTCCCATCCTTGTAAAGGATCCTCACTATATAATAATTCTAACTTATCTTGAATTATTTTTACTTTATCTATAGAGAATATAATTAATTCTATTTTAGGGTCTTCTTCTTTTATATTTTCTAATTTTTGTGTGATTTTTTCACTTCCTTTTATCCATTCTGTTGTTTTTCGTTTTTTATTATTTACTCTTTTTGCTCCTATTTTTTGTTTACACGGTGTTGTGAACCACCAGTGTGTTTTTGTTATTATATGTGGGTATAATTTTTCTAAAAATGGCATTCCTAATAGCATATCTTGTGTAGTTAATTCAAAGTTATATATTTCTTCTATAGTTAATATTTTATCCCATATTTGTACTTTTATATTTTTTGCCTTATATGTGATCATGCTTCCTTCATTATTAAATCCTGTTACTACTATCGGTGTTTTTAATTTTTCCCATTTATCTTCTGGTAAACAATTGTATTTACATATATTAGTTTCTGCTCCCGTATCTATCATTGGTGTATAATATCGGTTGTAGTATCCTTCTATTATTATCTTTGCAAGTATATATATTTTCATATTTTTATTATACTACAGTCCTTTTTATTATTACTCTTTTATTTTCATAATTTATTGTTAACTGTTTATCTTCTAGATTATATGGTTTTACTTGTTCTAGCCATTTTATTCCTAAAATGATATTTTCATTTCCTTGATATATTTTGAATTTTATTACTATTGGTACTCCTCCGATGATTATTTCCTTTTCCGTAGTTTCTTCGGTATACATTAATGCTTTTGGTAGTTCGGAGCATGATTGTTCAATAGTTATTATTTCATCTTCCGTTACTAATTCTCTTGTAATATAGTTTTCTTCTCGTCCTGTATCTATTAGTATTAAATATTTTCGTTGTTCCATTATTCCGGTTATGTAGTAATGATATGGTTTTATATCTTCTTCTATTGATTTTTGTGGGGTTTTATCTATTCTCCTTGAGGTACTCATTTTTGATGATGTTTGGGGTATCTCATCGTTTATTCTTTTCGATGTGCTTAGTCTTTCTTTTACTATTTCTAAATCTTCTTCTATATCAATTTCATTATAACTATAATCGTTTTTATCTATGACTGTAACTATTCTTTCAAAGGGATCTTATATTTTTATTTTATCTATTTTATTTTTTGCTGTTATTTTGTGTTTTGTTGTTAGAACATATAAGTTTTTACATCTAGCTGTAAATATTTTACTTCCTGGGGCTAGTTCTATTCCTGACATTCTCCAATATAATACTAATGATTTATCTATATTTCTGTCATTTATTGCTACTGAGTAATTAGCACTTATTATAAATTTAAATTTTTGGTATATGAGGTTACCTCTTACTGCACTTATTACACTTTTTTCTATGGGTTGTATAATTCTATCATCCGCTAAGTATATTTCTATGGGCGTATCTATTCCTTCTCTAAAACATGCTTTTATTAATATTTCTGTTCCTCCTAAATGTACATATTTAATTGTATTTTTAGCCTTAATATCTTGTATTTCTTTATTTATTATTCGTTTATTTATTATTGGTATTTTGGCCTTTCCTTTAGTATATTTGCAATCTATGATATGTTCTCTTTGACTTACTACATAATATTCTTCTTTTTGTCGTTTAAACCAGTTTCTTACTGTTGGTATTTCGAATATTTTTGCTACGCTTAGGTCTAATTCTTTTCCTTTTATTTGTTCAAATATACTATTATCAAATATTATTTTTTGTTCTAAATATTCTTCGTCTTGATGCTTTTCTTTATTTATTGTTTGTATATCTGCTTCAGTCATTTGTTATATTATAGGATTCATTATCTGATTCTATTTCTATGTCATTATCTATTTCATTTTCCGATAATTCATATATACTATCATTGCTTTCTAATTCATAATCTACATATTCTATTTGTGTATATTTTTCATCGTCTATTATTATTTCTGATATTTGTTTTTTCTTTGGGTTCTTAGGTAATTTACAATCTCTAGCTATATGTCCTAATTTTCCACAATTATAACAAGTACATTCCGTTAGTTTTCTTTTTGGTCTATATGGTCTTTTGGTTTTGTAATTTTTTACGTAGTACCTTCTTCTTGGTTTTTTATATTTGTATTTTGATCTATATTTTTTAGTATATTTCTTTCTATTTTTATAATACCTATCCGTACAACCAAATTGGGGTGCTGTTTTATTTTTGCAACATGCTAAGTTTTTTTACTAATATTTTTTCCATCTTTATTTCTTCTTTATGTTTTTCACATAGTTCCATAAACCATCGTTGCAAGAATTTTATTCTAGCTCCTAAGGTATCTGTTAATTCTGCTTCATTCCAACTTTTTATTACTTTTGAATTAAAAGGTTCTGGTAATTTTGTAAAATATAATTTTCTTATTTCTTTACTTTCTTCTATGCTATATGTTCCTTTATAATAATATTCTCTAAATGCACATGTATATTCATCTATGTAACACATATTACATATTGCTAATTTTGTCATTAGATTTCGATTTATGATTTTTTCTTTATTTTGTTCTTCTACCTCTGTTGTCATACTGCTAAATTCATTTCTTATAGCTATTTCATATTTATATAGTATTTCCATGGTTGTAGTGGCTATTCCACCATCAAATTTTTTATTATTTCTTAAAGTTGTTAAGCTTTCATTTGTTAAATTTTGTAGCCATAAGGAAGTACAACAATTAGAAGAAGTAAAAAATACTAAAATAATAGAGCTAGAAAAAGAGCTAGCAATATTAAAAGAAATGTATGAAATTAAACAAAAAGAAAAAGAACAAAAAACGAAATTAAAAAATGAGATAATTGAATTTAAAGAAAAATTGCAATTACGAGATGAATTAGGAGAAAAAGAAGAAAATAACCAAGATAATCTACCCGAAATAAGAATTGATGAAATAAACGATGATGATCTAGAACAACATTCGGAAACAAGCGAAACATATACGGAACTTTTAGCAAACATAGATAATACAAAGAATTTAGAAGTAAATACAGAAGACGTAGACATAGGCGAAAAACCTAGCACATCAGGAGTAAAAAACCCAAAAAATTTTAATCCAAAATATTATGCCTGGCACAACACTGATCAACGATCTCAACCCACGGACCGTAGGTCAACTTATGAACCGTAGGTCGTGGTCTGTTTACCACCTGCACACATGAAATTGGCTAAGTTGCGAACTACGATGTGGACTACGGTTCGTCGTTCCATCGACAGATCGTTCTGCTCATCCGTGGTTCCAACATCAAACACTAAACAATGGGAACCCTGACCTACGAAGGTGACCCACGGCCCGTCACTCCATAAACAAATTTTAGGTACCCACCGTGCATCTCTGAACCAGCTACTGCCTGAGAAATTTTCGTCTTTAATCTAAGGCCTAGTCTTGTTCTAAAATTCTTTCTTGGGTCTTTTTGATTTCTTGAAGTACTAACTAAGCTTCTTTAGGTACCATGGAACCAAAGAAAGCTCTCGTGTACGCAAGGGGGGGAGTCTAAGTTTGTTTCCCCATCCCGCCACATGATCGTGGACTCCAGTGAGGACGAGTACGTCCGTGAGACCACCCGAGCCTCCCCCACTGCACCCCGTGCTACGAAGAAGAAAGCCAAGCAGGTACTTACTTGTAGTAATGAGGTCGAGGTCATTGCCCCCGGTCTTATGA